AAACAAAAAACCAACCCGAGCAAGTCAAGACTTTCAACAGAAATCTAATGAGCAAAAGAAAAACTTGTAGAGGCTCTTCAAATTATACACCACTAGGCTAAATGCGGGCAAAGATCATGCACAGCAAGCAGATCCAACTGTACACAGAACAGAACGACCCGATCAATTCTGCACTGTCTACCGTCAACAGAACTCTTCAATTCTTTCCCAGAAAAGGTCCAAAGGAATCATCATAATAATAATTACAACATAAGATAATAATAATATGGCTCATTCTGATGATGAAAACATACATCATGCAAGAAGGAAACCGCACTCATCCAAGAGCGACAGAGTGCCACCGGAACCTGAAAGATACCCAAGTACTTTTAAAGCAGCTCAGTTCATTACAAGAAACAGCACAGCTGTTTACAGGAAACAGCTCACTTTCCACAGATTGTAGTGCCAGCAGCAGAAGAATGAAGGCCTAGAAAATAGCCGGAAGTCAGATTATTAATCCACAAAGACGGACACACAAACAAGCAGACATATTAGAAAACAGTAAGAACCCGTCCCTCTGTGAGAAGGTAAAGCAAAGCAGAATAATATATTGAAAAATGGTGAAATATGGCAAAGCGGAGTACCATAAAACCAAAAGTGTTCAGATACGCGAGTTGACTACACATAGCTCGCTCTAGTCTAGAGTGGCGCTGGGTCTTACTCTTACTTTCTACGAAAATATCCACAAAAGTGGTGCAGGATCCTGCCTCGTTGGTCGCTTTACAGATGAATTCGGCCTCCTCATCCAAGGTCACGTTCTTGATGACCAGGGTACACCGTCCGTCCTCGTAGGTGGAGACATAGCGCTCACTTGTGGTGATCTCTATCTCCTCCTGGACAACGACAGCAACAACAACAACATCAGCAATAACAACAACAATAACTACAACAGCAAAAATAACATCAGCAATAACAAAAACGACAATAATTACAACAACAACATGAGCAATAACAACAACAACAATAACTACAGCAGCAACAACAACAGCAATAACAACAACAACAGCAACATCTGCAACATTATTGTAGCGTCTACAATGACGTCTGTATTGTTACGTCAACAATGACGTCATTATTGTTGTTACGTCTACAATTACTGTACTGTTGTTACATACTCATAATTCTGTCCTTATTGTTCTAATGTTCGTCTTTACATTAATATACCATATCATGTCAATACGTCATTATTGTTGTTACGTCTACAATTACTGTACTGTTGTTACATACTCACAATTCTGTCCTTATTGTTCTAATGTTCAGTCTTTTCGTCATTGGTCCACATTATGTCCACAATTTCATCATTGTAATTTTTATGTCTTCAGATTCGTATTTTTCGTAACATCTACAATCCCCTCAAAAGTGTTATGTTCACAGTTACTGCTGTTGCGTGAATGATTGAGTCATTATTCCATGTAACGTCTAGAGTTATTAAGTACACCCTTGAGACAGTTCTGTACCGTGAGCCAGTAGGCGAAATAGACTACCTCGAGAGAAGAAGGACATTCTTTCTGCCCCCCTCTCTCTCTCTCTTTCTCCTCTCTGTCTCTCTTCAACTCTCTCTCTCTCTTTCTCCTTCTCTGTCTCCCTCCCTCTCTTTCTTTCCCTCTCTGTCTCAATCTGTGTCTCTCCCCTTCTGTGTCTTCCTCACTCAAACACACTCACCTCTCTCTCTCTCTCTCTCTCTTTCT